TCATACATATGAGTTGTGTACCTTTTTGCAGAGTAGTCGTGAGATGTTCACCCAGCAACTGCTTCTCCACACTAGCAATGAGCGGTTTTCTGAACAGGGGAAAAAAACCAACTCATGTTACAAATGAATCTTTGTGTTTGTGAAACTGCACATTGAATACTACAGTGTAGGACTCACTGTGTGCTCTGATCTAAATACGTGATGACTCTGTCAGCCTCCTCCTCCAGGCGCTTGCTGACATGATGGAGATAGTCTGGGACCTACAAAAAGAGAGCGGAAAGGAGCCATATTTGAATACATCAATCCATATGATTTGTTTATAAAGAAAGTCAGACTAGTTTGAATAAACTTATGTTGAGTCAAAAATCCTGAATCATAACTCTCACGCAACCAATCATTTCATGTGTTTCAGTTTTTAATGTAATTTCAAAATGTAAATAGTGACATAATGTGACAGCTGAATCTTGATTGTGCATATATGTAAATAATGACATAATAACAAATAAATTAAATTAAATCACTGGACATAAATATACACTGTTTCCACAACCCATGTTAATAGTAGTAGACCAAATATGTAGATAGATATGTCACTATATGTACAGATGTCCATTTTCACTTTTCACTTTAACTCATTTCGTACTTCATAATTTAGATGACCAAATATGTATATATGCTGACAGTTATTTTACTCTTATTTTTACTCATCTCCTATTTCATAGTCTTTTATTATTATTATTATTATTATTATTATTATTTTAATTTTTTTCAATTTTAGTTAATCTGTGTGAATCTTGCTGCCTTTTTTCACGCCTTACCCTGTTGTTGCTTGTTACAACTGAATTCCCCACGGGGATTGATAAGGTCGCATCTTATCTGCATCTTATAGTGTGGCATACCTATATCACACACAGTATGCAGTATTAGAGAAAATGTAATATCAAGTATCTATTTTAACTCTTCCTTAGTTTCCGTCTGAATTTCAGCTAAAAATATTTTTGCAGGTGAGATGAAGGAAACCTTCCAGTCCTGTAACGTGCTTCGGATCTCCTGTAGCTTATGGATGTGTTAGTGTTCTTGTGTGATGAAGTCCTTTCAGGTTTCATTTCTGAGTAACTAAAAAATAAGGTCATGTTCTAGATGCAAACATATCATAATACTGGACATAAATTGTGTGACATTGTGTCCAGTCTTGTAAAGAGAAACCATGGAAACAAACAATATAAACGGGCCCAGAGTACGGTGGTCACATAAATCACCTCTCTCTCCTGCATCAGCCTCTGTCCCTCTGCAGCGTACAGGCGATTAGTTTCCTCCAAAAAGCGTTGCTCAAAGGAGTCTTGATAAATCTGTCAGGGATGGAGGGAACACAGGTTTAATTAAAGCCATTTGTCAACAAGAGACTGACAACTTATCACACCCCGGTTCAGGTGATAATCACAAATACCACAGCTGCTAAAGCATCACTTTTCTGTTAGTACAGGAAGTGTTTGGATCATTAATATAAAAAGTAATAGTCTGTTACCTGCAGGTCAGAGAGCATGCTCAGCAGGCTCCTCAGTAAAGTGCGGTCTATCGCTTCTCCGTTTCGCTCCATCTCTATGAGCAGCAGTATCCCGTCGATGGTTTTACACTGGACCTTCAGATCGCTGATGATGTAGAACCTGAACAGCTCCAGACCCATGTCCCTGCACACCACAGAAGTTGTTCAAACTTTTTTTTTTAAACATATGAATCTGCTAAATGCTAATGTACAACAGCAGACTTCAGGGATCACTCACCAGATAGATGGCAGCATTGAGTTTTGTAAAACATAGGTTCGGTCCAAAAACAAAAATATACTCCTAATCATGATCTGTGAAACAAAGACAGACATAAAAAGTTAGGAATAAGCTGTGATCACATTGTTATTCTTTTTCAAACAAGTTGTTGTTTGATGAAAACAGTTGTAAGATGGCTTCTGTGAGTTAACTTTCACATTTTGAGAAAATAACCATGATCTTAAATTGGGTTTGAGACTTTACAATACATTTAATATTTATGTTTTAAGTCCCCCAACTTCATGGAAGCTCAATATTCAAATCAGTATTAGACAATTTAAACAGGAACATTTGACAAACAAATCGCAAGGAAAGCAGACCTTACATAAACAGACTTTCAAGGGATATGAAAGCCACCACTTCACTTATAAAAGTTATGAAACATACCATTTGTCTGCAGTGATCTTGCCAGCATTTGTCAATCTTCTTTAGGAAAAGCACACTGTCCAAGGCATCCGTATGAACAACGTTAAGGAAGAAGATATGTTCTGCAATATGACTGCATGATCATCACTAAGCAATACAATACTACGATAGATCCACAGACAGAAATATGAAGATGAATAAAATAGTGAAGGATATTCTCTGAATTGCTCAATTTGTGACTTGATGTGGTCTTCACACACGGCCCTCAGCTGTTTGTAAAGCTTGGCAGATATCTTATGGGAGCACAGGTTCTCAACTGCCTGAGGGGACAGAAAAAAAAGTGTTAAAAAGGAAAGTTTAATTATAAATGTGTTTCCTCTGGGGGGTGAACAGGTCAGTAGTGATACCTGATAGAGCTCTTCTAGGTTGTACTTGATTGAAGTGCTGTTCTGTATGGCCTCCACCGCCTCCTTCAGCTTCTGCCAGGTCTCCTGCGTGTAGTTCTCAGGCAATTTGGGTTTTTCTGTGTGCAAAAGACCCCACAAAATAGTTCTTATAACAATAAAACAGTGGACCTCACTGAACCATAATGCCACTAAGCCAGTGCGATTATAAAAACTATTATAGCAAGATGGTCCTGACTATAAAATAAATAAACATGGTTATTGAATGTCGTTATTAGACATGCTATAGCCTCAGATTTGCACTGGTTTGTTTTTGGATGTATATATTTATTTACTTTTAATCCCTTTATTGTAAATCACTTTGTGCTGCACCCACTGTATGAAAGGTGCTGTATAATAAAGTAATATTATTATAACTATTAATAATGAGAATGCGTCATCTCATTAAATTCATCTAAAAAAAACGTAGGTTAAAGTTCCCAATCCTACTCTATAATCCTGTTACTTCAGGAGAGCAATAACAACTTCATTTTAGATATGTTATGTAAACATTAAGCTTGGCAGTTAGAAACTATATTTATTAGTTTTACTTTAGTCTTTATAGTCTTATTAGGATGTCCAATTATGATTGTTAGAACCTATTTGATGATAAATTAGTGCTTCTAATACATTATTTTTCTAACATATCTAAAATATGTATGCCTACATTTCTTTTACGGAGCCTAGAGTCATTCCCATATTGACACAATTAAGGAAATGTATATTTCCTGACAGATTTGACCATATAGGAGAGCACTGATTCAGCTAGGTTTCTATTATTGTTAAATGTACATTGAATTACAGCCTTCAGGTCCTTTTACAGACAATCTCACATCACAATAACAGATTAAATGTTCCACTGTGGACTTGTTAAAAGTTTATATTGCTGATGTTTTGGAGCTTATAGCACAGTATCTCACTGTTTTGTGTGTGCTACCTCTGAAGTTCTTGATGACTAGTTTCTTGGCCGCCCCGGGTTTACTGTTGGAGAAGGTCCCGGAGGAGCCTGCGGGCTTCGTCAGTCCGTTCGCATGGTGTCCCGTCCCGACACCGGGCAGGAACACGGCTTTGCTTTTGTTATTGGAGCAAGAAGCAGCAACGACGGCCGCAGCAGCAGCCTCCTCAGCCATTTTCACATCCAGTCCAATGATATCCACTGAATCCTCAAACCTCAACTTCTTCTGGATGTGCAGCGGGGAGCAGGAGGAAGAGGAAGAGGAGGAGGAATTCAGGGACTTGTCAGCAGTGTCTTCCCTCTCAGAGCCGTTTATTTTCCTCTTCTTCGGAGATGTGATGTTACCGCTGTCGGGTTTGACATCAGTAGCCACTGGTCTAGCCTCCTGGGTTGGCGGTGGTGGGGGATTAGGGGAAGATAAACCTGTTGGAAACATGAAAAAACGGGGATACTAATTCTTTAACAGATTGTCTTTTTCTGGTGATCCAAAACTTCCAGGCTCGCTGGGAGATGAGCTCAGTGTCCGATAGCTTGTGTGTGTCTCAACGAGGACGGAGGGTCCTTTTTACCAGTATAAAACTGATAATAAACAGTAAACTACTCAGCTTCACTTGGACCTAGCCTTGTCTCTTTCTTGTTGTTGCTGGCAGGAGAAGAAAGATGGTCGGCTATTGCTTCCTCTTTTCGCCACTCGTGTCTCACCGCGTTGCACAGTCGTTAAGTATGAGCGGTTGGTAACTGAAGCAGCCGTCAGATACTTATTCACAGAATAAATGTAACTACAGCAGAGAAATTGTCTCATGTGATACTAAAACACCCGTCGGAAAACAGGGAGGAAATTTCGCTCAAAAAAGCTAGTCGGTGACCTACCGGAAGTACTTTGTACAAAAAGTACTTTTTGCCCAAGCGTGTTTTTTTCGTGCAGAAAACAGTGCTGTTATCTGCTCTGGCCACACGATGGCGCCATGTCACTGATCACCACGGATTGATGTCACGTTTACCATCACGAATTAAGCAAATATGAATGAATACAAAAATATATTTAAAGGGAAATGTACTGTCTAATTTATTTATTGCGCTCACTTTACATTTGTTTACATTAATTTAGACCTCAAGTATTATCTTGCTATTATTTCACAACATTTTTGTTACCATTACTTAGAATTAAAAAAAGTTTAAAAAGCATATCAAAACCTAAATAGTTCAATGCACATACATTTGTTTGTCAGACACAAAGTTAATTCAAAGTACGTTGTACAAGCATTAAAACAAACAAAATGGAAAAGAAGACAATTCCCAAAATAGATAGAAGGTGGTTAAATCCTACATTGGAACTACAGTTGTTAATTTCAATAAAGGTTCTATAAAAAAATGGTTACTTTGGTGACAGAAGACCTGCCGTGTAACGTAAACAACTGTCGTAAAATGAAGCAAACCCTTTCAACTCTGGCCCTCCACTGCTAAACAGGCGTGGAAGTAGAGAAGCATTTCTTGATATATGAACTGTCTTCTATTATCTTATTGTGTTTAACGTACACATATTTGCGCAGTAATTCCGGACAAGCTTTGAGGAACGCGGTAACCGTTACAGCGACCAACGAGGATGTTTAAAAAGTACGTATGTGATTATTTCTGTGTTGTAACGTTAGCTAACCACAGCTAGGTGGCTAACGCTAACTGATTAGCAAGTTAGTTTTGTTGTATGCTCAAGTTCAATTAATGAGACAAACAGACATAATTTATAATATCGGTAAGGTCCTGTGCTATTGCAGTAGACCGGGTCTGGAAAACATGTCTGTTCAAATGTATCATGTGATCTAGATATTACTCATTCATATGTCTTAACTAAGCAATACGGCCCTGTATTTTAGTAATCACAATGATGAAATCCACCTTTCTTCTAATTAGGTAAAGCTATCTATTTTCTCAGATTGAGTTGTAATGAGAGTGAGAATTACACTATTATTCATTTATTAGTCTGGATGAGATTTAAGAAGAAAGCCCACTTGCTTATGTATGTATTTATGTATCTACCTTTTAGAAAAAATAAGTTAGAGCATTTCTCTTAAAACTACAATTGAATCCCCTTTCCAAATATCTGTAATCGGTGGGTGTCATTGCTTTTGGTTCTTGGTTTTTAAATCAAATATCATAATTAAACCAACACAATAGTTACTGCCAATATTGGCCACAATGTGGAATCAGTGAGCTCATGTTGTGTATGTTTTATCTCATGTTTAGGCCTACAGTATATTAGTTATTTCACTTGAAAAATAAGTACAGCTTTGTTGTCAAAAAGATTCCTCCATGTGATGGACATGTGAAGAGCAGTTGCCTTTGTTTTGTTTTTAATGGCTGTATTTGTATCTATACTAAAAGCACTTTCTGTTTACTGTTTCAGATTTGATGATAAGGAAAATGTGTCGAACTGTATCCAGCTGAAAACATCAGTGATCAAGGGCATCAAAAATCAGCTATTGGAACAGTTTCCAGACATCGAGACATGGCTCAATCACATAATGCCAAAAAAAGACCCTGTCAAAATCGTGAGATGGTATGATGATTCAGTTATTTCCTTCATCAGTTTCCTTAAATGCAGTGTGTTTTTAGTGGATTGCCTTTTACGTTTGTAATATTTCTATTGTTATGCCCACAGCCATGAACACATTGAAATCCTGACAGTGAATGGAGAACTGCTCTTCTTCAGACAGAGAGAAGGACCATTCTACCCGACCCTCAGACTGCTGCATAAATGTAAGATCCTAAAATGCCAACTAGTATATGGTTGTTTATAATATTAAATGCCATAAGTGGACTAAGACATCTTACTGAGAAGAGACAGGCATCAACAAAAAAAGGAGCTCCATGCACACAATTAACAAAAAAGAAAAAAGGTTAGATCTGCCCTTCAGAAGGAAGTGATTATAAGGACCTTTAATTTCTGTAATGCAGTGTGCCTTTGTATGTTTTGGTTATGACTTATTGATCACAAAGCCAAGTAAAAGTCTTCCTTCTCTTTTTTCCAAGATCCTTTCATTCTTCCCCACCAGCAAGTAGACAAAGGAGCCATTAAATTTGTCTTAAGTGGAGCCAACATCATGTGCCCTGGGCTGACGTCGCCAGGCGCGAAACTCTACCCAGCTGCAGCTGACACAGCAGTTGTATCCTTTTAAACATGAGGCTGCATGTGGAAGCGGCTTGATTTTCACACAAAAAATATATTTGTGAAGTGTTCTTGTGCTATCAGGGTGTCCGCGGGATCTTAAAGAGTATTACAAGTTGATAAATCAATTTAGCGGAAATTAAGGCTATTAAAAAGTATTCAACGGCATTTTCCAAGGTATTACATTTTGTAGCTTGTTTTCAATAAGTATATAAATTGTCCAAAGAGGTTGTATTCTACAGTCTGCCTGAATGTAATCATTGCGTCGGCGTAAACGCACCTTCGTGCGCTATCAAGCAGTGAGCGTGCAATGTCCTGTTCAGATGACGTCAAATCCAACAGGATGCCATAAATAAACTACACAAAATCACATTACACACCTACGCAATGATTACATTCAGGCAGACTGTAGAATACAACCTCTTTGGACAATTTATATACTTATTGAAAACAAGCTACAAAATGTAATACCTTGGAAAATGNCCTTATCACAACTGATCAAGATGGCCAAAATATTCTCTGCTCAGAGGGCCTTGCAGATGATTTTGGAAGAGAGAGAACCATTTGATGATGATGTAGAGGAAGAGGAAGAGGTTTCAGAATGTTAGGATCACATTTCTGACAGTGACTTTCAAGAAGAGGATGAGATTGAGCATCAGCTAGTTACAAAGAAAAGACGAGCCACAGGACGAGCCGGTCAGCGGGCAAAAGAACGAGTATCACTTTAATTCATTAATGTGATCTAACAAATATAAAAGGGCAAATATTAACCATATATGCAGTTTATATTGCTTGTAATTTGGATGAAGTAAACATCTGTTGAGTATTTTAACATAAAATAAAAAATGAATTGAAACCCAAAAAGGCAGCGGGTCCACCAGACCCACGAACACTGGCTGAATAACAAAAATATGAACACCGCACAAGGGTTAATTTCTGCTAAAGAGGACATCTTTGTAATATATTTCTTATACCCAATTACTTAAAATATGGAAGAAAATCTATTAAACTTACTTATTAAACGACAGTTTCAGATTTGCTTTTCAATAAGAAGGCATATGGTTTCCCTTCCCCAAAAATAAATTACATTGTGACCTATGAGATGCTTTTTTTAATCCCTGCAGCTCGACCCTGCTTCACTGGGTGTAACTCTGGATAATATTTTGACTATATGACCACACAGACAAACATAGAAGACAACAGAGCATAGACTCTAAAGTCCCCCCACCCGTGTGTGTGTGTGTGTGTGTGTGTGTGTGTGTGTGTGTGTGTGTGTGTGTGTGTGTGTGTGTGTGTGTGTGTGTGTGTGTGTGTGTGTGTGTGTGTGTGTGCGTGCGTGCGTGCGTGCGTGCGTGCGTGCGTGTGTGTGCGCGCGCGTGTGCGTACGCCGTAATTGGCCCACTGAGTTGTGTACGTGTGAGTGTGTGAGAAAAAGAAAGGCAGTACCAGGCACTCACTCACAATGAACTATTATTAAGCCCCTTAGAGCCTGCAGCCGCACAAAAAATGGAAATCTCTGATGAGGTCAGATAGAGAGATACACTGCAGTGCTAACAATAGATTTGTTTGTAGAGATACCTTTGACATTGTCTGAATATATCAATGTTACCGTAATGCCATCCATCATAGCCAGGAGGCAGGCTGCAGTTTGTCTAACGCTTTAAAGGGATATATTATTTGAAATTCAGCTCCCTCACTCTGGTCTTTAACCATGAGTTGCAGCAGCTGTTTAGAAAACAGGATATGCAGAAAAAATTCAAGGATGCTTAATATCTCTCAGAAACTTCCCTTTCAGTTACAGTTAATGGCTGAAAAACAACTGTTCAGCATTTTAACCTACTCAAAAAATAATAATACTTTTGACATTGAAAACAAAACACTTACGAGTGAAATCGGGAGCTGAATGAGCGGTGTGAATCTTCAGGGTCAAGAGAAGAGATAAGAAGCAGTAAATCCATGGCACTTTCATTGTGTATATCCTGCAGGAGAGACCTCTGGGTTTTGCTTGAGTTGTCGTGCTATTGAGTGTCCGGGAGACGGCGGTCAGTAGGTCAATGATGCCATTGTGTTTCCAAGAAACAGCCACCCCCTTCCAGCAATAAAAAAATATCTGCAGTGCAGTTAGTTGATATCTAAGCATCTAATCTAATTCATAATTTACATGAATCTGTAGTCTTTTGATTTAAAGCTCTGCTGCATGTTCAAACAAGAATAATATTGCCGATGAAAATCAAACATCCTTCACTTTATACAAGATTAAAATACTGCAAACAAAGCCTATGGTGTGACTTTTTTTGGTTGGTTATTTTGCTTTGTGGAACTAAGTTAGCTCATAGTTTAACCTTTTGGGAGATTTTGCCCTAATTTAATTATCGATTTTATTTTTGTATTTGCAGTATTACAGACTGTTCGATGAGAGCATTAATGCCCTTTTCATGTCTGTGTATTAAGTATTAAGTTCAGGAGCTACGGCAAGAATGCAATTAGCTTAGCTTAATTTAGCTTGGCTTAGTTTAGCAGCAGGTGGGAGCAGTTGACCTTCCTCTGTGCTCATACAATGGCAGCACATCTGGCAACCTCGCTGTAGCGACAAGACTCCAGTAAGTCACTGCGGTTTGCTGTTGTTTGCTAACATTTACTTAAGACATTTTAGATTTCTGTTATTATTCTATACGAGCCAACAACCTGTTAAGTTGCTGTCCAGCTGTCTCCCCCTGCGGCTAGTCTTTATGCTAAGCTATTATATTAACCGTCAAGCTCCATCTTTATACTTGACTCAACAACAAAATAATGGTATTCATATTTTTGTCCTAAACTCTTCTAAAAAATAATAACAATAACAATAAGTGTATTTTCTAAAATGTTAATAAATTAATACCTAATGAATGCTATTTCCAAAAGAGACCGTCTCCCCCGAAAACTAAACTCATTGTAACAAAAACCCATTGACTTATTTTTAAGTGATGTACATTATGTTAAGTTACCAGTACGTTATGAAGCTTTTGCTATAGAGATAACAGCAGACACTCATGTAGATCCACCTGCAGATGCTCACTGGCATGTCAATGTTTTGTTAGCGCGGTAAATCTTGACCTTACGTTTGTGTGTGTGTGTGTGTGTGTGTGTGTGTGTGTGTGTGTGTGTGTGTGTGTGTGTGTAATAGACAAATCAAGAGTCATTCTCTTGGACTGGGTTCTGTTTATGGAAATAAGACACTTTGTTTCCAGGAGTTCACTTCCAGTGTGTGTGTCCAGCGGCGATATCTGCATCTCTCGGGCCTTTCGGTCTGTGGAAGAGGAAGTTAAAGGTCATTGACAAGTTTTTTCCACAATTACTCAGGATATCTCTCCTGTTGAATGTCCTCACAGTTTACTTTAAAAGCTGTGATTAACTTTAGTTTGGTCTCTTCTTACCCAACTCTGTGTGTGACAGTTGTTGTCATACCAACCAAACACTGACGCATAATTCATGAGAACTGTGACATTATCAGCTACTGCAGCCACTTGTGATGGTGAATCAAGTTCATATCTGAATGGCCCTCTAGTCATTTATCACACAGGCTCCAACAAACACTCCCTCCATAGCAGAGTTATAATGGAGGGTGAGAAGGACACACTTTTTAATAATGTGCCTACGTTAGATTGACACTCCCACCTCATACTCCAGTAAATTCCTTTCACCTCCCATATGAAGTGTCAATAGAGTAACTAATTATTCCTTAAAACTTTCTACTTGGGAGACGGGTGGTACCAGCGTGTGGAGGAGAGATTATCTGCAGACATTTGGAAAATCCCAGGTCATAACCTCTCTGATTTTGCAGATATTTAATAAAGAAGAGGAGGATACTATCTTTTTTCAACAACCTTCTCTCCCTCTTTTACATTTCCTGTGATCATTGAGTGTTATTCATCACATTTCCAGGATTTCTTTGGAATATCAATGTTTTTAATGGCACTCAGCCACCTAACAAAAATCGCACAGAGCGTTGTATCTTTCTTTCTTAAATTCCTAGTGATGCGTTGCATAACTCTGCCCATGATGTGTTATTTCTTTGGGGAAGTCTCAACCACAGCTTGGGGATTTCACCAAAAACAACACTTTCCTCTTTACTGTAAATTATAGTATTACAAGAAACTGAGATACTGAACTAAGCCCTCACTTCCAAACTCATGGGCTATGAGTTAAAGATAATCTTTTTTATTTAATTACTAATCATACCACTTTGAATATTAAATATTAAATGAAACGGAAGTAATATTTTTAATACTTTCTTGACACTTGTGTGCATGCAGAACAAATCAAAGTCAAATGTGCCTGTTGCGTTACTGCAAATACCTCTGAAATGTCCCCTTTTTGTTTAAAAAGAATAGTGACAAATCCAACCTGACCTTTTCCCTGAGTAGAATAAAGTAAAAAACAATTAGCAAAATATATACCATGCGGTGAGCGATTACAAGTCCTGCATTATAAGTCCAAATATTTGCGTATATTCAGGAAATGTGCTTTAAGAATGACAAATTAAACTAATTTTAATGCTGAACTAATGATCTCAATGTCATATTATTATTTCATTCAGTAAATATAGTATTATAATTACCACAGTAAGCTGTTGGCAAGATTAGCTGTTCTTAATGACAAAACATTTTTTACAAAATGTATTTTAAAGGAACTTCTTACAATATTTTTTAGCTGTTTGGAATTGAATAAAAATGACAACATTTCTGAATAAAATGTATTGGAGTTAGTGTGTCAAATATATACAATATTGGCAAAAAGTAATTAGAGAACTCTAAGTCATACTTGATAACTTGCGTACATTTCCTTAAGGAGAAATCCTTAAGGATGGGTTAAAGTGAAATCTAGGTTGCTTTGAATTATATATACAGTATCAACCAAACCCTTTGTAAAACCCAGAAAACAGATAGGAATGAAACTGGAAATGTATACGGTAACTGAAGGGAAGATTTCTGTGTTATAAAATCAATCTTCTTATACTTATATAATGTTAGATATCACATATTACTAGT